TGCCCAGGAAATCTAGCTCCAAGCTGGGCATCCTTGTGCGCCACCCAGCTAGCCTGCTTTGTCGTTTGCATGGTGCCGACACGTCAATTAGGTCAAAAGGTGGCCAATTTCTAATTTTCCACTCCGCTTGTTTGTAAGATCTTTGGTTGCGTGGTGGTAAACTCTACACACACTCTAGAATGCCAGCCATGCATGGTCATGGATGACGTTATCAGTCCACCCAGCCAGCTGGCGGTCCCCATGCAATGCCAATGGCACTGCAAGCTAAGCTCTTTAGAATCATTGAGCAAATGATCCCATGCCATGGTACGGCTAGCCAATCTCCTGGTGCCACGTGCCGGATGTTACCGCGAGAGTTACCGCTGGCGAGGATTTACGAATATGCCCCTCCCCCAACGGCTGGACAGTGGGTCTTCACTTCACTCCGGCTACCTCCGCCAATCTAACATCCGCTAGTTAAGTTTAGCAGTGTTTTTATTTATCTAGCGTATGAAGAAGATGAGAGGAAAAAGAGAGAGAGAGGCGCTTTCTCTCTTTTGTTCTTGAACCGTGTGTTTTCGTGACAGAGGCAGGGCATTTTTCTTGTTTCGTCTTGTTTGGCGAGATCGAGGGCGAGGAGCGCTGCTCCAGCGCGCCGGCCGCCATCGCCGCTGCTAGATCCGCCACAGCAGCGCAGGGCATTCCGATCGATCGGCGGGCTGGGGTTTCTTTCGCGGGAAGGAATGGAGGGGAGCTGAGGTCTAGCCGCTGGTAATCGGGGCTGTCGAGCATCGCCGTGGGGAAATTTCGGGCAGATGGAGGCGAATGCGGGCCTCGTCGCTGGATCGCACATCAGGAACGAGCTTCTTGTCATCCGGGGAGATGTGGTGAGTGATTGTGCGTGGTGATGGTGCTCCATTCTTATGTTTCCTCGCGATCTCCCGCGAATGTAGGTGAAGCCTCTCAACCACGCGGAGCAGCAGGTGTGCCAAATCTGTGGCGACGACGTTGGCCTGACCGTGGATGGGGATTTGTTCGTCGCCTGCAACGAATGCGCGTTTCCAGTGTGTCGCCCTTGCTATGACTACGAAAGAAAGGATGGGAACCAGGCGTGCCCACAGTGCAAAACACGCTACAAGCGTCACAAAGGTACTTTACCCATGCCTTCAAATCCTCCCAGCCGATGGATAGATAGACTCTCTAGCTGGGTACTACGATAGGATAGCAAGAGGGCACTAACACTCCTCGGTGGAAATCGTGGACAGGCAGCCCGCGAGTGGAAGGGGACGACGATGAAGAGGAGTTCGATGACTTGGATAGCGAGTTCAACATCCACGACGAGGTTGACAAGATGGACAGGCAGCAGCTAGCGGAGGCTATGCTCCACGGCCGGATGAGCTATGGTCGGGCAGAAGACCACGAAATTGAGATGCCTGGCTTGCAACCTCCTGTTCCTCTTCTTACTAACGGGCAAATGGTATGTAGCTTTGGAATTCCTTTCCCTTCTGTTATCCAGAGTCTATTCTAACCAATGTTGCTGATAGGATGGGAGCGATGTGGATGTCATTCCACCTGATCATCACGCTTTGATTGTTCCTTCAAATTTTGGGCCCGGTGGAAAACGTGTTCATCCCCTTCCATACAGTGACAACCTTCCAGGTACGTAAGCCGATGGAAGCTTGCATTGTTCCAACGTCTCTTTGATTGATGAAATTTCAGTCCAAATTCGATCCATGGATCCTTCTAAAGATCCGTCTTCTTATGGATACGGGAGTGTCGCATGGAAGGAAAGATTAGAGAGCTGGAAACAGAAGCAAGATAAGCAGGTTATGATGACTGAAGGCCATCTTGGCTCTGGTGGTAAAGGATATGATATCGATGGAAATCCGCTTGATGGCCCGGAATTGCCGATGTAAGCTTTTTCTTTCGCTTTGTCACGAGCCGCTACTGATTCTTGTCTGCAGTATGGATGAAGCGCGACAGCCACTATCACGAAAGGTTCCTTTACCTTCAAGCAAGATTAATCCCTACCGTATGGTTATCGTTCTTCGGCTGGTCATTCTAGGATTCTTTTTCCGCTATCGGCTCCTCAACCCTGTCCCAAATGCTTTCGGCCTGTGGCTTACGTCAGTTATTTGCGAGATATGGTTTGCATTTTCATGGATTCTTGATCAATTTCCAAAATGGTTTCCTATCAATCGGGAAACTTATCTAGACAGGCTCTCTCTAAGGTCAGTTGTCAGTTTGGTATTCTACAAACGCATCCTACTAACGCCTTGATCGATCGTTCAGGTACGAGAGGGAGGGCGAGCCGTCACAGCTCGCTGCAGTGGACATATTTGTCAGTACAGTGGATCCCATGAAGGAGCCCCCACTCGTTACGGCAAACACTATTCTATCAATTCTTTCAGTCGATTATCCGGTTGATAAAGTCTCATGCTACGTTTCCGATGATGGTTCAGCCATGCTTACCTTTGAAGGTCTTTCAGAGACATCAGAATTTGCAAGAAAGTGGGTTCCATTCGTCAAGAAGTATAACATTGAGCCTCGAGCACCGGAGATGTACTTCGCGCAAAAGATAGACTATCTCAAGGACAAAGTGCAGCCGAGTTTCGTAAAAGAGCGTCGGGCAATGAAGGTATTGAATCTTGATGCGATATTATTCAGCCTGCTTCTAAATGTTGCTTTGAATTTGCAGAGAGAGTACGAAGAGTTCAAAGTTCGAGTGAACGCAATGGTTGCAAAGGCGCAGAAGGTGCCCGAGGAAGGTTGGACGATGCAGGATGGAACACCTTGGCCTGGAAACAATACGCGAGATCACCCTGGAATGATACAGGTATTAGAGACGAGAAAAGTAAATATTTGTTGTCTTTACATGTAGAGGTTGTTTTCAGGTGTTTCTGGGTCACAGCGGAGGCCATGACACCGAAGGCAACGAGCTACCCCGCTTGGTTTATGTTTCCCGTGAAAAGAGACCAGGTTTTAATCATCACAAAAAAGCCGGTGCTATGAATGCCTTGGTAAAGGAAGTTATTACTCTGGCATGGTAGTTCTGATGTTTAATTGTGTGCAGGTTCGGGTTTCAGCAGTTCTGACAAATGCTCCCTTCTTACTTAACTTGGATTGCGATCACTACATCAACAACAGTAAAGCACTCCGGGAAGCAATGTGCTTTATGATGGATCCTACAATGGGCAAGGGTGTCTGCTACGTGCAGTTTCCGCAAAGATTCGATGGTATTGATAGGAATGATCGGTATGCAAATCACAACACTGTTTTCTTCGATGTAAGTATGCGTTGCGCCGTTTTGGATTGTAGTTTATAACCTTTTCCTCTGCAGATCAACTTGAAAGGTCTGGACGGTTTGCAAGGCCCAGTTTACGTCGGCACCGGTTGTACCTTTCGAAGGCAAGCGTTATATGGCTATGACCCTCCCAAGAAAACCAAGGCTAGAAGATCTCTTAACTTGTTTGGTCCAAGAAAAAGAAGCAAGGACTCAAGCTCAAAATCGAAGAAAAAGTCTAGTAGCAAGCGGACGGACTCAAATTTGCCGGCTTTCTCGTTGGAAGATTTGGAAGAAGGTACGCACCATACTTTTCTTTGCTTTCGATATGTTTGACAAAAAGAAATTGCTCGTCTTTTTCAGGTACAGGGGATGCAAAGTCTCTTCTTTCTTCTGAGAAATTCTTTGAGAAAAGATTTGGACAATCACCAGTATTTGTTTCGTCAACTTTACTCGAACAAGGAGGAGTTCCCGAGGATGCTAGTCCCGCATCTCTTCTGAAAGAAGCGATTCATGTCATAAGCTGTGGTTACGAAGACAAAACGGAATGGGGGAAAGAGGTACGCTACACTACTACACATTTATCATCAGCTGTCTCTAATCTCTGTTTGCTTTCTAGATTGGCTGGATATATGGTTCAGTTACGGAGGATATTTTGACTGGATTTAAGATGCATTCTCGCGGCTGGAGATCGATATACTGCATGCCTGCGAGGCCTGCATTCAAGGGCTCGGCTCCAATCAACCTGTCGGATCGTCTGCATCAGGTGTTGCGATGGGCCCTGGGCTCGGTGGAGATTTTGCTGAGCAGACATTGTCCAATATGGTATGGGTATTCCGGCCGGTTGAAATGGCTGCAAAGGCTGGCTTACATCAACACCATTGTCTATCCACTGACGTCGATTCCTTTGGTGGCATACTGCACTCTACCGGCAGTATGCTTGCTCACAAACAAGTTTATCATTCCCACGGTAAGATTTTCAGAGTTTTGCTTCTGACGCGAGCAGCTTTCTTTCTTTTCCAGATAAGCAACTTCGATAGCTTGTGGTTTATCTCGTTGTTCCTTTCCATCTTCGCAACGGGTATCCTGGAGCTCCGCTGGAGCGGCGTCGGTATTGATGAGTGGTGGAGGAACGAACAGTTTTGGGTGATTGGCGGCGTCTCCTCCCACTTGTTCGCGGTCTTCCAGGGGCTGCTCAAGGTGCTGGCCGGCATCGACACGAACTTCACGGTAACATCCAAGTCCGCAGATGACGAAGACTTTGGCGAGCTCTACGAGTTCAAGTGGACGACTCTCCTCATTCCCCCGACGACGCTGATCATTGTCAACTTAGTGGGAGTTGCCGCGGGGATCTCGGACGCAGTGAACAACGGGTATCAATCCTGGGGTCCTCTCTTCGGCAAGATCTTCTTCGCATTCTGGGTGATCGTGCATCTATACCCGTTCCTCAAGGGTCTCATGGGAAGGCAAAACAGGACTCCAACGATCGTGGTGGTGTGGTCCATCCTTCTAGCATCGATCTTCTCGCTGCTGTGGGTGCGAATCAATCCTTTCCTGCAAAAGGTACAAGGTCCCAATCTGGAGCAGTGTGGCATCAACTGCTAGAAGAGAGTTTTGTTTATACATCTTTGGGGGAAGAGGGGACTCTTTTTTTGTTACGCGCGTCCTACGCACCAGCGAGAGAATGTACAATGGATGCATGAATCTTGGACGTAATGGATGATAGGTCATCTGTGGCCGTTGGATCCCAAGGGTTTTGGCGATGGAGGAAATGGAAATGGAGTGTGAGGGTTACACTGTGTGCTATTGCGTGACCAAGGCGCGGGAGCGCCTAGATCCCACAATTTCGGCGCTGAAGAGACATTCTTCTGCGACTGCTGATGATGTAGCGGTCGGAACACCGCTGGGTGATGTAGTAACGGGGATCAAACAGGACAAGGGTGTCTCTCATGTTTATTTGCTGCATACAAGCGAGTCACGGTGGATTGAAGTTACTGACAGTCATTTGGCATTGAGTTTCTCAAAGGGAGCGTTCGTCTATCTCAAGTTTGTGAAAGGTGCAAGTTGGTTCGTCTTGCTTGTGTGTTTATATGACTTTCATTGTTTTGCTGTCATGTATGTTCTTGGATCTTTGATTTTGTGATCGATTTATTAACAAACATGTTTCTGCTGCAGATCATGCTGCAGGTAAGCACTCTGCAGTCCGGTAGTGTAAGCAAGAAATTTTCTCATTGCATTTGCGAAATATTTGGGCACCCGTGCCTTCAAACCCGCTTTTGCTATTATAGGATCTGATAGCCCTTGAGCAAAGCCTTCTTCCCCTGTTGTTATCCCATTTGTTCTTTAGCATTCTTTCACTGCATTCTGAGTGATTCGTTGCTGATATTGTTTCGTTGGTTTTTCTTTTTACTCACTTTAGTCAGCGCGTTTCTAAATCTGGGCTTAGTAAGTGAGGGCTTACTCGCAAGAGAGGAGTATTTCACGCCAAGGAACTCAGCAATAGAGAAGTTGTTACAACTCGTTCAGCAGAAAGGTGCCGTCCTGATACAGGCTCCGCCTCAGAGCGGAAAGACGTCTTTCCTGCAGCTGGCATATCGGAAAGCAAAATACTTGCCAAACTGGAAAGCTGTTTATCTTATCAGTCTTGCTTTTGTCAATGACATTAGCTTCGAGGAGCTTCTCAAGCTTACTTGTGGTAAGTGTAGCGTCTGCACTTTGAGTTGAATTAATTCCCTGTGCTACAGATGTTGAGGTGGCGGATCTCCTTGGCCCCGGTGGTCCGAAAAGGCTTCTTTTAGTTGATGAAGCCCAGGCTGCATTTGGCTGTGACTTGCTGTTATGGAAAACATTGAAACAAGTGCAGGGGGGTTATGAGGGGCAACAGTCACCCAATATGAACATAATTATTTCGTCAGGTTGCGGAGCAGAAGACGTCCCTGGAGCTACATTTCCTATGGGGTGGGATACTTTCAACAGGGATCGGATTCTCTTAAGGTAAGCTTGATCTGCTCAAGGGTTTTATGCATATAAATTGTTTTCCAGGCCTTCAGGTGATCATGGTCTTTCTTTGCAATTTAGTGATGAGGAGGCAGTAGACCTATGGCTAGCATGGATGCAGTACTACAGATTCCCAGACCTTGGTGATGAATTACGAGATTGGATTTTCCGGTTGTCTGATAAGCAGCCAGGAGTTATGACGGGAATTTTGGATTGGCTTGCGGACACTTCGATTCGGATGAGGCCGAGCACGCCAAGTGAGTACTTCGTCCACACGCTGCAGATGACCGATTTCTCTATCATTCTTGTCAGTTGTCGGAGCATACAATTGTAAGCCGTGCTGCTTCTTGAAGGTTACAATAGTCTGACAGGTTATACAGGTTCTACCACAAAATTTACAGTCGCTCTGCTGTTTATCGTTCCTTAATAATGTGCTTACTTGCGAATATCGAGGTATGCATTCGCTTGGTAGATCTTTATCTGTTTGACATGTCCTCTGATCTTAGGTGTCGCATGAATGGATTTCGCAAGAGATGCAAGACGCTGTCCATGAGCTACTTCTGTGTGGCCAGCTTATCAAGAATCAGCGGGGAAATTACTGCTTGCCTTCTAAAGTGCACGAACGTTTTTACTCCAGGCGCATCTACAGGGGTATACTGTCGGTAGCAGACGTAGGTGCTCTGGGAATCAAGGTGTTCCTTGTCAGGGTTTTGGAGTGCTTCTCGTCAAAGGTGTTACGAAACAGCTTTTCACGGGGTCAAGAAGATGAGGAAGATACCACCCCGTATGAGCGCCACCTGGAAATGGAGTTTTACAGGTATGTGACTTAGATCTGTTTCTTTTCTCACATGAATGTGTTGCAGGTCAGTATGCTCCTTGCTTGATCCAGACATCTGCCTATGCCCCGATGTGGGACCTCGTTTCTGTGTCAAAGGCTTCGCTGATTACTATTTGGCACAGTTTGGCTGGTTTTTTCAACTGATGAGGAAGGGTACAGAGGCCACAAGACATTCGCATCTTGAGAGGTAAGTAGAGTTAAAAGTGTTTTCCTTGTTGTTTTACTTGTGCTCTTTCTTTATGTTCCAGATTCAGGCAGAACGGCCGGTACTGGCCCCTGTTTACTGGACCGCTCAAGGCTTACGTTGTGATTGGTATAGTGAATGCGGCAGAATTTGTGGATAACATGCCAGATGAGGATGGGACATATGTGTTTGCTGTTTCATTTGCTTCTGACTTCAAAACGGCAATGGTTTTTCCGGATGGTCTCACTGCTCATCTTCTTTAGGTATTGTGATATCTTCAGAATTGTTCGTAAGCTAGACTAAATAATATAGTCAGCTTATCACATGCTCCTTCCAAAGAATTCCATAAAAACAAAAAGGTGGCAAAGTTAAATAGTAGTGGAAGAAAGCAAGTACTTGTACCACCCAGGTGAACAGTTGAATTCACCTCTATTTGCTGCCATGTGGGCCACTCCAAAAAATGGGAACCACATGGGAATTGGAGGAGAACTTAACGAATATGTGAGATCTAGTGGAAGAATTTTTGCAAAGTAGAACTCTATGTATTTATGCAAAGTTCAATTAAAGTATCAAATTGTGAAGTTGAGCAATGGCATATGTTAGGACCCAAAGGTGTGCCAAAGATAAGCTAATTAGCATGCATTAGCTATATCAACCAGGAGTAGAAAACTACATTCGACTCCCCATGGGGATGTCGAATCCGTAAACGTATTCTATAGAGGTTAGGTTCAAGTCCCAACCCCCTAGTAAAGCAAGGTTGGGTTCTAGTCCCAACCCCATACTAGGGCGTGATAAAGTAAGGGGTATAGGAACACCTATACTCCATTGTCATGGGCTCTTGGTCGGGGAGGCTAATTTAGGCACACTGCTAAATGGGGGGATGCCCCCAGAGACATGGTCAACAAGTCATAGGATAAAAAGAGACGTTCAATGTGGGCATTGAACTTCTTCTATGGGTAGTGGAGTTGTAAGGAACCAACTCCCTGAGATGTCGTAAGCTAAAGGATCCCCGAAAGCATGACCGAAATGACAAAGAGTTCATCGGATGGGATTGAGTTTGAAATCAAGTCCAAGACCGACTTTGAGACCGAGTTCGAGATAGAGTTTGGGATCGAGTCCGAGGCCGATTCGGAGACCGAGTTCGAGACAGAGTCTGAGATCCGGGATCGGGTCCGAGATTGAGTTTGAGGTCAAGTTTGAAGTCGAGTTTGAGATCGGGTCCGAGATCGAGTCTAAGATCGAGTCCGAGACCGAGTCCAAGTATTAATCCAGGTCAAGGGGGGAAAGCCCAAAGCGTGTGTCTCTCAAGGGGGGGGGGGGGGGGGGGGCTGCAGGGGGTTCCAGAAGTATAGTAGGGATAGTGAGGTATAGGAACTAGTTTTGAAGGAACTCTCTAGTAGTGCTTCGAAACTGACTTGAGGTTGAGATTGGGGTCGAGGGGCCTTAGGTGGGAGTGAGCATGGACTTGGGTGGTGTCGGCAGGGCCACCCAAGGAAGTGCTCAAGAGCAGCTCCCACTCGCGAAAGGGAAACCGACTGCAATGCTCCCGGCTCATGTGGAGTGGTGCCCCACTTGAGTATCTTGCAGCTCATTGGTCCTCGCCCTTTTTAGGGGCTTAGGCCTCCCTTTGGGATGGAAGTGGGGGGGTGGGGGGGGGGAGGGGGGCGGGGTTTAGAGGTACCCATACCGGGTCGTTAGGCCACGACCTAATAGTGTTTCACCCTAGTGTCCCAAAGCAAGTGTTGCACCCAAGGCTTGGGATTTAGAGGGTCTCATGATCAAGTCTTGTTGTACCAAGGGATGTTAGGAATCTAGAGGCTTGGTGTGCTTGGCTGCTTATGCTTGCGGGGAGTGTAGCCGAACCTTAAGTCCAGTCTAACCTAGGGAGGGGGATTGGGAGAGATTTGGGAATCCATGGATGGATGGCTAACGTTCTATTGCTCGTGCAGTGAGTAGTTGAAACTAAGTAAGACCAAGTAGGAGCTGGTACAATAAGTGGGAATCTTGGTGAGGGAACTTAGCACAAGCCAAAGCGGTGTTGGTCGGATAAACGAGGTAAGCTGACAAATTGGAAAGGAAAAATTTGTGGCTTACACGTACCTTAAAACCTCTCAATCCTCCTAGAAGAACACTATGAAGATGTAACTCCTCAAGAACACTCTTAGATTCAAGATCACTAATCTAAAGCTTGTGTTGCCACTAGTAGAATGTTCACACACAAGGTTAAGGTCACCATATTCCCATTGGCAGGCTATGAAATCCCTCTAGAAAATACACTTTATTATAATTCTACAAGTAAACATTGTTAAACACTTTTAAATGCTTTAACCCTTCCCTACCATCCTCCTTATATCTCATACTCCTAGCCAAATCTCCTAAAATCGAATTGCAAATCCTCATCCGAGCTTTGTCTTGTAGCAAAGATCTTAAGTGCCCAAATCACAAAAGGAATATTCTAGTGGATTTCCTCTCCTTGCCCTAGTGCCATATGCTTTCAACGGTTTCTAGGGTTAGGACAATACAACTATATCACCTTGCCACCACCTAGGATGCAAGGCCAATTACATCCTCACCAAAATGCTACTCAATTCATAAATTCCACTCCTATGGATGATATGGAATCTTTTGTCTTGGAAGTTGATTATCCCTATGTTGGCTTTTCCTTCTCTTTTAACTTCTCTTAGCTGGAATTTTGCTTCTTTTATCCTTGTTATCTGCTAGCCATTCTAGCTTCACATGTCTTCCTCTAGCTATTCTCTTTTGTTAGATTGTAAATTTCTTTTCACCTTGTATTTTTTTTATAACCACTTCTTCATCTTGAACTTGACTACTTAAGATCTCCTCTCTGTTTCTTGCCTATTCATTGCCACCTTTGGCTCCTCATATCTCTTTACTTTTAATGTTGAAGTAGAAAATGCCTATACTTGCTACTCTATAGGAATGAGGTTTAACTCCCTTAATGAACTCCTCAAATTCCTATTTAGACTCCTCTTTTAATTTCCCTCTATGCCTCCTAACAAGTCCTATATTTTCTAGCACTAAAGATCATTCATACCTATTTCTCAAGCATTGAGATCTTTATCTCTTATTATGAAGTTTTTTCTTGCAACTAATTCTTTAAGGATCTAGCCAACTTAATTGCCTCAATTAGCATCTCTGCATTCATGGTTGTTTGGAACTACTACACCATAAGCTCCTAGAATAGAACAGGTCAAAGGCCCAATAGGCATAAGTAGAAAGAAGC